TTGTAACAAGATATTTGCAAACTAATTCAATTTTGAAGTCTAATTTTTTTAATTTAATATTTGCAAATCAATTTAATCTTACTTTAAATGTAGAAAAATACGCTGAATAAATTTTAAAGGTAATTATTGATACGCTACTACAAGCTACACATCGACATCATTCAGTTGATTGTTGGTACTAATTTTAGTTACATTTTAATTTTAATCTAAGCGGATATAACTGCAAGTTAGTTTTATTTCTTATATAATTATGATTTAGGACTGTTAACTTGTGTCATATATTAAATGCTGCTTATCTTTATCATTTCTTTTGAAAAATGTTCTATCGTTAGCTTGCCGTTTTAGATTGCAAACACCTATATCATTCTTTAAAATGTGTGAAACCGTTTTCTGTTATGTTATATCAGTGATAACATTTTTACCATTAAGTTATAAAAAGGTATCATTTTTACCAAAATGTTATTACAGTTTTAACATTTTAACCATTAAGTTATTAATAAGGTATAATTTTTAGCAAAATGTTATTACATTGTTAACATTTTTACAATTATAATATATGTGGTATTATTTTTAGCAATATGTTATATATATACAAATATATATATATATATATATATATATATATATATATATATATATATATATATATATATATATATATATATATATATATATATATGTATATATATATATATATATATATATATATATATATATATATATATATATATGGTCTTTTTTACCATTGTTTTATATATATATGGTATTATTTCTACCAGTAGTTATATCACTGTACTATTATTACAATTTTGATATATTAGTAGTACCATTTTAACTTAATGGTATTACAGTGAGTACATCTTTACACTGAGGTGGTAAGTTTACGTTGAACAACTGAAGTATAATTCGCTAAGCATTAAAAGCAAGTCCGTCATCTGTGTATGCTGTTTTCATTTTTCATTGACTGTACTCTACCCCAGGGGTCTCCAAATTTTTCAGTCCAAGGGCCACAGTAACTATCAAATTTCAATTAAGGAGCTAGTTTCTTCCAGAAATATCTTTGATTTTTTCTGAGAAAAGTTCCTCAGCCATCACTAACAAACGTTTTTCCGCGGGCCGGATGAGAGGACATCGCGGGCCGTAGTTTGGAGATCCTTGCTCTACCCCAATGAAAACCTTTCTGATACGTTTTCCACGACCTTTTTTACAGACATGTATCTTAACAATTATTGTAGCTACGACACAATGGTAAAACGTGTATTCTACTTCACCTGCACAAGACAGCTTGGCTGTCTCAAAGACAGCCACAACGGATGACAGACTGACACAGGTGGTGACGTTGCCGCTGGACATTAGCGTAAATCCAGGGTGTTCGGTACAAATTGTACTCGCGGAGAAATACTCCGTACCATCCGAGGGGTTGGTCGTTTCAACAGTCAGAAGGTAGGATCCTATATGGAAGATAGTTTACAAGGAACATAGTTCACGCAGAATGCAGTGATTCTAAAAATATGTCCTTACTTGAGTGATCAGTTTATTTAAGACTCGTTTTGTTTTCGATGTTTTGTGTGTGCGCGTGGGGAGGGATAATGAACATATTTCAAGCAAAATGCAGTTTGAAAAATGTATGTCCTTATTTACAGTGATCAATTTATTTAGGACCCGTTGTTTGTTTTTATGTGTGCGTGGGGGGAGAATGCCTGGATTAAAAACAATGTAATGACAAGATGTTTTTTTACTTAAAAATCAGGGTGTTTTCAATAAATATGTACATCGATATGCTTAAATCGCATAAACGCTTCACTAAATTGTATCTGATTCTTAATATTGTAAATAAGTTGGGTAATTGTAGTCGGAAAGATTCAAGATTGTAAATTATAATGACAAATACATTCAGATGATATAGTATTATGGTAAACACAATATACGAAATACATTCCTACGTAAGCTATTGTGCATCAACCTGTAAAACTCGGCTTGCCCTTCGCATCAAATTTCTTTCCTGGAATATTTTATTGCTTTTTCCAATTTGGACGGGGTGGCCTAGCGGTAGAGAGCTGTAAGTCTCGAGTTCGAATCCGGGTTCAAGTCAGTAGACCGTCCCTGAGTCCTCTCAGCTCTTATGGGTACCTAAGCCACTTTAGGGTAAGTAAAGGCGGCTGGGCATAGTGCTGGCCACACTATCCCGAGGTCACAGTAACAGGTGAACTCTACTTCACTTGCCCCATAAACCGTCAGGTTTGAATTGTAACTTGTTTTACTTACCTTGCCAGAATAATAATAAAACAAATGTTCATAAATGTGATCTTAATTAAATCTACCTAATTTGCAGGTTTGAAGTGAAGCGTTGTATATGAAGCTGTAACAGAGGTCTGGCACACCTAGACATTTGAAGACACAGCTAGAGAGGGAATCTATGGAGTTCAGTGTCGCTACAGGCATCATTGTGAAGGACGGGAACTTGTGGAAGTATCGGCCAGGTATTTGTACGCTGGCAGCCAGATCTAGATAAAAATAATAGAAAATGCTCGTATTTAAGGGGAAAAAGGTTAAACATTGTTAAAATTAAAGTATTAGAAAAAAAAACTGGAACGGTGTTGTGGTCGAATGGTAGAGCGTGCAGCTGCGAGCACAAGTTTCTCGAGTTCGGATCTAGGGTTCAAGTCCGTCAGATGTATCTGAGTCCATTCAACTCTGGGTAACTGACTCACGTTCGGGCACGGTAAAGGTGGTTGAGCATAATGATGTCAACACAATCTCTTCTTTTATTGAAGTCGCTGAAGCAGGTGAACTCTCCTTCACTTGGCCCATGAACTGCACGTTTTAAATAATTATTTATATATTAAACAGTAACTAGTAAGTCTGCTTGTCTCATAATAGAAGCCATTACCTTCCTTTTAAGAAGCTTAAACAAGAACCCTTTATTACAAAGTTTAAGAATAAAGTTTTTAAACTTACAAATCCACACTTGAAGTTTAGTTTGCCCAAAAATAATATTTAACTCACCTATCAGCTGTAAAATCATAATAAGCTTGTCAATTAACGGATAACAACGAAAACGCATGATGGATGTCTGAAAAAAAAATTATGTTTGGGACCACCCAAGCCCTGTGTCGGGACCACCCAAGCACTGTGTCGGGACCACCGTGTCGGGACCACCGTGTCGGGACCACCCAAGCACTGTGTCGGGACCACTCAAGCCCTGTGTCGGGACCACTCAAGCCCTGTGTCGGGACCACTGTGTCGGGACCACTCAGGCCCTGTGTCGGGACCACTATGTCGGGACCACTCAAGCCCTGTGTCGGGACCACTGTGTCGGGACCACTCAAGCCCTGTGTCGGGACCACTCAAGCCCTGTGTCGGGACTGTGTCGGGGCCAATCAAAATCCCCGCGAAGAGGCTGCGGCGTACAATCTCTGTTTGTAAACCGGACAATGTGTTATTCTAGAAGATAATAAATTTTAATGTTGTATCCCTAGGAATCTTCAAGTTTTTTTTCTTTTCGTTATTATCTACCGTTGACAACTGTAAGGGTCGAGCATTGGGAATGTTTGAAATAATTAAAATATTTATATTATATAGTGTGTAACGTGGGGTTGTATCCCAGTTAAAAGCCACTCACGCATGTAAGTATTTTAGCATTTTTAAGAGGTGAATGAAAAAGTTGTTATTTTTAACCCAAAAAAAAATAAACAAACGTGTGTTCTTCTCTATTGATTGTGTGGTGTGAGACCGTTTCATTAGTTGTACCTGTTTCCCTCTTAACTAGATTAAAAATCGTGTCTATATCCCGAGTTGCTATTCCCGTAGTGTTATATAAGAATATTCGAGAAAGTTTAGGGGAGATCACTCCCGCTTTATTTCACTGAGCTTCATTTTCCTGCTTTAATGAAGAAATTAATTGTCCAAAAATTCCCTTCATTCGTTAAATACCGTCCATGGATTGTGCATAAAGTTACTTATACATACGGGGCAGTGCCAGTCTCTCTTACATTTGGCTGCAGATACAGGGATAGAGTTTGCCAATTAAATTTCTTCACATAGCTGTAAAAGATAGAAATTACAATTTACATATTTTCTCTAATTTTCTATAATGTCCACATAGCACTTTTTGTGTGTTTAAATTGCAATCTATTTTTATTTTTTATTTTTTATTTTTTAATTAAAAGGAACATCTTTTTAAATATTTAGCAAATTTTCTTTAAATAGATAATAAACCGTTGATTTTAAATATCTTTTTGCTGAGAGATAATTCATTTTTGAAGTCCACAAAAAGTTGGAATTCTAACCCCCCCTCCACCGTCCACTTTGACGAATGCCAGCCCCCCCACCCCAACACCGCCATCTCCATATGGACGTCCACAATAATTTAGTAAATCTCTCAAACCATGCTGTCGAATTACTAATTAATTTACTAACATGTAATGTGCAACTTGATATGTAATTAATTGATTATTTAATATAGGAATTTGATATTTTCGTTAAAATCTCTTACTAGTCCTAAAAGTTAAAAGTTGAGCGTAGAAAATGTTGAAAAAAATAAGCATATTTTAAACTACTTTAAAAATCAATCAAGGTTTGCTTAATAAAGTATACTCCTCACTATTGTTTGCTGTTCATTTGGTACACAATTATTTTTTCTCCGATATTCTATTATATTTTTAAAAAATGAATATGTAAGTATGTAAAAATTGATAAAAAGTCATGTCTATATTCCGAGTTGTAAATTCCCCGCAGTGTTATTTTTGAATATCCGAGAATGTATAGGGGAGATCACTCCCGCTTTATTTAAAAAATCATAACTTCCTCGTCAGGATTAGCAGCACTTTAATTTGACACTACACGCAGCCAATTGGGTCACAAGACTTGGCTACCACACAGCTATACATAAAATACATCGCTCTCTCTACCGAAACCAACCGGATCTTCAGTTGTTATTTTTAGCTCTGGGTTTTGGTGTGTGCTTGTTTGTATTTTTAAAGAAAAGTTTACAGCCTGTTAGCCTATTTAAAATGTTTAGCTTGCATTTTGTGTTCAATGAGAGTTATGAATATTTACTTGTGTTAGTTTTAGCTTGTTTTAAAGTGTAATATGAACTTATATACCGCGCAATAGCTTCACTTTTCTCAAAATTGCAAGCTGAGTGTTGATAGACCTACATCTTCCAAGCCAAACGACGGTAACAAAGTTTTGTCAGTTTTCCGAACAGTTTTCAGGAGAAATGTTTTTTTATTCTGAATACATCAGCTGCATAGTCACACCTAAATCTGGAGAATAGTAATTGCGTGATATAAGCACCCACGGGATATCAGGCTATTAATTGATATTGTTTAGTAGCTTACATTTGGACATTCTAAGAAATAGAAAAAAATTGTAAACGCTTTATAGTAAATGTTCTATCAACATAATAACATTGTTACTGCATATTTATATAAATATGAATTAAATGAATGTAATAACATCGTATTTCAAGGTTATTTCTTTTTGGATGCGTGCAAATTGGTCAAAAATAATATTTTTAAAAAATGAACATAAATACTTGTATTTAAATCATATATAAAATGGAATCTCAGTGGCTTGCAGATAATAAATGTGATAACAATGATAATGATTTTAACGGTCCGAACGAGGTAAATGTTATTTCTAGGATAGAGCATATTCAAGATATAGGCAGAATAAACAGCGTCGGTATCGGCGATGGATGCAGTGCATTAATATCTGCCTCCCAGAACGGCAATAACAAAGCGGTAAAAAAGTTAATTCACAGTGGTAGTGATGTGAATGCGATAGACAATGCTGGATGGAATGCTTTAATGTTCGCCTCACAAAATGGTCACGACAAAGTAGCTGAATCACTGATAAAAAATCGAAGTAAAATAAACGAAGTGAATGAAAGTGGACACACAGCCCTAATGATAGCCTCATCTAGAGGACACGAGAGAATTGTAAAATGTTTGGCTACATGTGGAGCTGATTTGAATGTTGTAGACAATAATGGATGGAATGCATTGATGATTGTGTCAGCAAAAGGAAATGCCAAAATTGTAGAAATGCTGATAAACATCGGAAGTGATGTTAATGCTGTTGACAAAAATGGATGGAATGCACTAATGTTTGCAATTCAATGTAAGCATATCAATGTAGTGGAAATTTTAATTAATAGCGGGTGTAATGTAAATGTAATTAAAAATGGAGATGAAAATCCATTAGATATTGCTTATCTAAATAATGATAAAGAAAGTGGAGCATTGATTCTGGATTGCATGTGTAATAAGAATTCTCTTCCCGTAAACTTACACACATTTTTATTGGCATCGTACTTTGGGCACGTAAATGCTTTAGCCCTGTTAATTAAGCATATACCTGACATAAATGAAAAAGGTGATTTGTTAAATGGATGCAGTGCATTAATGTTAGCTTCCCACAACGGGCACACAAAATCTGTTGAGCTGTTAATAAGAAATGGACTTGATGTAAATGCTGTTAATGAAACTGGAGCCAGCTCTCTCTTGCTCGCTTCTCGCACAGGCCATGAGTCCACTGTTGGGACGTTGATAGCTGCTGGATCTGACGTGAATACTGTTGACAAAAATAAAAAAACGGCATTAATGTTTGCATCTGAAAAGGGGCATCAAGGAGTTGTTGATCTGTTAGTTAGTAGTGGGTGTGATTTGTATGCTACTGATAATGATGGGTCTAACGCATTGATGTTTGCTTCGGAGCACGGTCACCAAAATATTATAGAACTGTTGATAGGTAAGAAAACTATAAATAATGTTGATAATTATGGACGTAGTGCTTTACTAAGGGCTTCATCTAACGGACACGAAACAGTTATCAACCTATTGATTGCAGGCGGTGGTGATGTAAATGCTCTTGATAATTATGGAAATAATGCATTAATGATATCATCTGAAAATGGACACTACAATGCTGTCCTACAGTTAGTTAACAGTGGGTGTGATGTTGATGCAGCTAACAATGATGGATTTAACGCACTAATGTTTGCGTCCGAACAAGGAAATAAAACAATTGCAGAACTGCTAATAAATAAAGGAAATAATGTAAATGACATTGATAAATATGGACGCAATGCTTTAATGTACGCATCATCTAGAGGACACGAAACAATTATCAAGCTACTGATTAATGGTGGGGGTGATGTGAATGCTGTTGATACGTATGGAAAAAGTGCATTAATGTTAGCCACTGAAAAAGGACATTGCAACGCTGTGGAAGTGTTAATTAACAGTGGGTGTAATGTTAATTCTTTTGACAAATATGGATTTAACGCAATAATGTTTGCCTCCTTAAATTGGCATGAAAATGTGTTTAAATTGCTAGTTAAAAGTTCATGTTATTTCGATCACTACGACTATAATGGAATTAAACTGTTTGAAATGTGTTCCAACATTCTGGATAACAGTGACACGAACACGCAGGAAAACACGGTCGATTTTCTTCTAAAAATTGCTGAAAATAATTCGAAGATTCTTAAAGAAAATTTGACTTTAATGAAAAGCCTTGAAACTCTACAATCACGTGCCGTTAACAAAATGCAGAGAAAGGTTTCTTGTATTTTTTGGCATGTTAACAAATCTACTGTTTCTTTGGATCCCAATGCAGGTAGGTTTAAGCGCAATTTTAAAATGTGAATATCTGTTATAGTAAGTTTGTGTGCTCAGTGTTTTTAAAGAATTACAGAGTTCGGGGGTAAGCTGTTTTGAAATATTAAATGAACATTATTTTTAGCTTACAAAAATAGTATTAAACACCATTAATTTCTTACAGTCTTATCTTGTTTAGTATATTGATAAAATAATTGTCAATCAATCATCATCTTTTTCCGTTCATGACCATGACACATAGGGCAGATGAAGTAGAGTTCATCTGTTTCAATGACCTCGGCATTAAAGGGTATAATGTGGTCAGCACTATGCCTAGCTGTCTTTGTTGCCCTAATGTGAGTTATGTACCTACCACAGCTGGGTGGACGCAGGGACTTTCTACTGATTTGAACCAGGATTCACATTCGAGATTATTTAGCTATATACCGCAAGGCCACGCCTTTTCTTTCAATAAATAATAAGTATTCTTTGCCAAAAGTTAAATACCAAATCAATATATTCTAACGATATACATTGTTTTATTACTTTTAAAAGATAAATGTTTGGCACCCTATGTATCACCTAACTGGACGAGAAATCAAACAATGATTGGACAGGGAGCAAGTGGAAGTGTTTTTATCGTAGACAGGGATGATCTGGATGCTGATATCAAACTTGCTGTCAAAGAAATCTATTACACGGAATCAAATATCGTATGCAGATTGATAAATTCTCCTCAATAAATAAATAAATAAATAAATAAATATATATATATATATATATATATATATATATATATATATATATATATATATATATATATATATATATATATATATATATATATATATATATATATATATATATACATACATATATATATATATATATATATATATATATATATATATATATATATATATATATATATATATATATATATATACTTTATTTCTATTAATACAAGCACAGATTATTTTTGAAAGCAATAACAGATAAATATGTTACTAATGAAATAATGATTTTCGTTACAGTCTAGGTATTTATCCGAAGTGGATATTTTGATGAAGCTACAGCACACAAGAATTACAAATTTTTACGGCTTTGAGATCAAAGAAAGTAGAATATATTTATTTTTTGACTACATGTCACAGGTATATACAATTTGGAACAGTTTGCATAAGTAATTACTAATAAGTATATTTTCCGTACGTGTCAGATCTACTGATATCTTTAACGAGAAAAATGGCCCGTTGAGGAAGGATACAACGGGCTCTAGGTTGATAGTACTGTCTATTTTCTCTAAACTAAAACCAATTCCCCCCCCCCCCCCCCCACACACACCCCAAAACATGTCTACCGTCCCATTCAACGAAATATAATTATATACTTTTTCCAGTGTCCGCCCCCTCCCAGAAATTTCTACCCCCGCCCCCGAAAATGTCAAGTACCCCCACCCCTCTCCGGGGAGGAAAAAGCCTGAAAGAAACACTGGTCGCATTTGTAGATCATACAAACTAAAGGAAGAACCTGGGCGGGGCTTCGCCCCTACCGGAAGAGATGCACGAAAAAACTGCACGCTAAACACTTTTTAGATTAGAAAAATTTCCCCCTCCGGGGAGGAATAAGTCTGAAAGAAACACTGGTCTCGCGCTTAGCCATTACCCGAAGAATTGGATGAAAGAAACTCTGCACGCAAACTACTTTTTAGATTAGACACATGAATTAGGCTGTAATTTTATTATAGAGTATCGATGACGACATTTCTTTTGAGTTGGGGGGGGGGGGGGGGTAGGCTTAGACGTTCTAACGCGGGGGATGGGCTTCGCCCCTACCCGAAGAATTGTGTGAACTAAACTCTTCACGCAAACCACTTTTAAGATTAGACAAAATGTCCTTTTTAATTCAATGTTTACTTGAGAATCAATATAACGACACATATAACTACCCTTTCCGTACACAGAGCTTTAAATATGTCAAAACGATGCGTTTGTTACCTCATCATCATTTATATTCAAACTAAATTTAATTACATAAATGTTTTACATTTTAGGGTTGTTTATCAAGATATATTACAAAAAACAACCCGCTTGATGAATCAAAAATATTCAATTTTACAAAGCAAATACTTGAAGGAGTTTCGTATCTTCACAACTTTAATCCACAAATTATACACAGAGATATTAAAGGTGGGTTTAACATTATTGCCTTTATAATTAAAATGACTTGACTTGACTTAGTCCTCTGTGCTCCCTATGGAACATACGGCCTCTAACATATCCTTCCATTTCGTTCGATCCCCTGCTATTAATTTTGTCTCCTAAGACATACCTGTTGGCTTCAGTTCTTCAAGAAGACTCTGCCTCCAGGTATATTTTAGGCGCCCTCTCTTCCACTTTCCATTTGAGGTTCGACTCAAGTGCTTGGTGTGTCACATTTGGGTGAGCCTTTCCCTGCGTGTGCCCCACCCAGCGCAACTTCCTCCTTCTTATTTGTACTGTCTGTCATGTCTTTCTCTGAATATAATGTACTACATTTTTTAGAAAAAAATGCAGCACACAAAGTAAAAGAATTTTAAAATCAGGGAAACTTTCCTGTGCCTATATCTGTGTTTCAATTTGTATAATTCAGGAGCTAATATATTACTAAAAGATGAAAACTGTTTAAAGCTGGCGGATTTTGGGTTGTCTAAACTTCTGGAGACAACTTCACCAAGATCGGTTGTAGGGACTTCTAACTTCATGGCACCGGAAGTTGTTTGTGGAGATGAAAAAACAGTTTACACTCTAAAGGCTGATATTTGGTTAATATGTTTTGCAATCTTCTTAATTTGTTAATATACATGTTTCAAAATAAATATTAAGAAAACTTCAAATATTTAAACTAATCTAAATTATTTATTGCTATTATTTATTGTATATTTGAGAAATATTGCCAAATTTTATAAATTATTACTGAAATAATTGCATTTTTATTTCGGTTAATTTTATTCCTGTACTTGTTTATGAAAAAAATACCTAATTTCAATTATAATGTGTGATTTTTCAGTTAATTCAATAATATGTTATAGGAGTGTTGGCTGTACAATTGTTGAAATGACTACAGGAAAACCACCTTTTCCAGGATTTTTGGATGCACAAATTGCATACAGATATGGAAGAAGAAAAGGGCCTGTATATCAACTTCCAGAAAGTACATCAAAATCTTTGAAACTTTTATTGGATAAAATGTTGAACATGAATCCTAAAAAACGACCAACTGCAGATGAGGCACTTGAATTATTTTTTTAAAATGGCGCTTTAAATGTGTTGTTATTTTTTACGTTTGTTTGACAAAACAACATTATGTTTTTACAATTCAACATAATTTTCTGTAGGAGTTAATCATGTCGATATTTTAAATATAATTTATGTAGTTCTTTCATGCTTTTTGGAGATACGTTTTAAATCTGTTTGTTTGCACGAATTTAAAGAAATAAACCGAGAGTGATCTCCCCTAAACTTGCTCGAATATTCTTATATAACACTACGTGGGATGGCAACTCGTGATATAGACAATGTCTATACCGTGTGTTTAATTACTCTAACTTTTTTAAAAAGAATAGAATCTCGTAGAAAAAAATAATTGCGCACCAAGCGAACGCCAAACAAAATTGCATAATAGTGCGGGATATTATTAGTACTTTATAAATTTGCATGCGTTTTTTGAGAAAACTGAAATATCGTAAATTACTACTTCATGTCAACGGAAATTACTCAAAATTTGAGAGAAGGCAGTAATTAAAAATGGATAAAATATATTGTCTATATCCCGTGTTGCCATCCACCGTAGTGTTATATAACAAAAATCGAAAACATTTAGGGGAGATTACTCCCGGTTTATTCATACACATACTAAATTTAATTAAAATTATCTATAGCCGTAATTAAAGGACTGGTATTGCGATGAAATTTCTAAAAGTTTTAAATTTTAAAATATTTGACCCAACCATAGGACAATGAGTAAGCCTAGATATTTTGTTTAAATATCTAAACTGTATTTCAATGAGGCGGATTTGGATGTTGCTTTGATGTATTACAAGCTTTTATTTTACTTGCTTCCTCGTGCTTAGTAAGGAAGACTGCACATTCTGACTATGTACATGTTTTTTTTTAAATATTGTTAAAAAAATTATTTTTACTTTTTCTCTATAAGAAACATCGATGAAGTATTGAAATCGTGCAAAATTCGAAATCGAGATTTTCACAAATCTCGGCGTTTAACGCCTCCCTAAGTCGGAAAAACGTAGTTTTGCAACTTTGTCTGTTTATTTGTCTGTTGGTCTGTCTGTGAACATGATTAATTGAGTACCGTTTAATTTATGTTGACGAAATAGCATGTATAAGTTTTATATTAAAATGTGTAGTCTTGTATTAACTTTTAAACGATTTCTGGTAACGGAAGTAGTACTTACTCTACTTCCGGTTTTTCAAAAGCCAAACCCTTGCTCAACGTTTAAGTTAAGATAACATTTTTTTAGAAATAGTTATACGATTGTATGCGCTTGTTTGTATCTCATTTTGAATGATGTTTTGGTATCCGGAAGTGGTACTTCGCTCTAATACATGGGTTCCCAACCTGGGGGTCGCGACCCCCTTGGGGGTTGCAAACGTCAGAGACTTGATCGAACAGAACGTTTTCACCAAGAAAACACAGCATTAGTGCAAGCATCAGAGAAGTAGTTTTAGAAATTGCCAAGCAAAAAAACCTCTCACACAAAGGAGACAATCTCATCTTTACTGCACTGGATTCCAGTGCAGTAAAGATGCAACAAATATCTCTGTCTAATAATACTATGCAGCGGCTTTATGTTAAAAGACAAATTTAGAATGAAATCAAGCTTTCGCCATTGTTTGATTTTCAAGTTGACGAATCGACAGACGTAAGTTCGTGTTCTCAGTTGCTTGTCTTTGTGAAATATATTCATTCAGATGTTAGCATATAAGAGTTGATGTTTTGTGAAGATATCATGGAGAAAATAAATACTTTTTTGAAACTGGAGGATTAAAATGGGAAAACGGCTGTGGGTCTTGTACAGATGGTGCGTCATGTTTCAGTACGCTGGTTTTCAATAGGAAATGTCAATCGTGTTTTTGAATTGAAATCTGAAATCAAATTGTTCTTGGAAGTGCAAGGAAACAAGTTTTGTTTTATTTGAACAAATTCCATTCTAATAACCGTTTAACGTTTCGTTCGCTGGTTAATATTTTACACTTGTGGCTTGTATTTATGGCCTACCTACGTTTTTCAGTGACAATAGTCCCTCTAATAATTATTTGTATATGCACATCACTTATTATAATAAAACTCAAACAGAATTCTGGGAAATCAATTATATCGAGTAATAATGTGAATAAAACAATTCAAGAGCTGAAAGTGATTAAGATGTTACTTGTGGTGTGTGTAGCTTTTGTTGCGTTGGATATTCCTAGCGCTATTTATACGTTGAAGATTATAATTACATGGCACATCAATGGTAAAATATTGCTTTTGCTTTCAATCCTCAATCAGCTAACGGCTTCGATTAATTTTGTTATTTATATAAAAATGAGTTCAAAATTTTCTGGCGCTATGAGATGTCTTTACTGCAGAAAAAAAAAATAACACCAAATCAAAGGGTTTTTTGTGTTTTTTTTTCTTCTGTTTGTATTTTAAAATATGTTTAGACATATAAGACAAACAACTACACAGAAAAAAAAATGCAGCTAGCTTACACGTATGAACGAGAAACTGTTGACCTACTTACAAGCCCTATTGAGGCTGTAATAGGCATGAAAAGTATATTTAATCATACTAAATATGTGAAAAAAAATTTTTTTTTAAATATGGCGAGCGATACTATTATAGTTACATTTTTTAAAATTTAAAACTGTTTTGGAACCATCGATTACACTCATTTTCATATGTTTGTATTGAATACAAGTCGTTGAAAAGTCGTTAACAATTATTTTACCGATTCAAATATTAAAAAAAACCGCACTCAACCGGAATCGTCAGAGAGAGAGTAAAATAATAAAAGTCAGAACGATTTTTCCCATGATAAAAATACACAGTAGTGGTGTATGGTGAATAGCGTAGTATTGTTTTTATATTAATATAATAAAATAATAAAACCGTAAGTGATTTTGCACTCATTACACAAATTACATGAAATAGCCAATGTTGGTTAAAAAAATATGCTTTCTGGCAACAAAAATAAATTTGGAACCGTTCGGAACAAGCTTTACAAGCGTATTGTAACAAATCGTATAAATTTTATTTATTCATAGTGTTATTTTAAACACAGAGATAAGTAATTTAAATAAACTCCACGTGTAAATTTCAGGATAACTTGGCAATACTATGCTGAATCCATGGCAGTATAAACGTAAAAAATTTGAGTGACGATGAAGTTAAATTAGATTTAAAGTGCTGGTGTGTTTATATCGGTGTTCATACACTATCTAGTCACTGGCTGAAGTTTCATCGCTGTATTTTTTGCATTGATTGCAGTATTGGTTAAAGAATGATGCATAGTAATTATCTCTTCCCATGACCGGCACTTAATTTTTTTTAATCAAGATCCGCTAGTTAACATTGTCTACATATCTAAAAAAATACCAATGTTATTAAGATTATATATCTCAACAAATTTTGAATTAAGTTTACATTCATTTTATATGTATTTTTATAACATTTAATCTCAGTACCTAGAAGATATTATAATTATATAAAATAACAGCCACATTGAAAGGTAGGTGTACAACACCCTTCCAGGAGGAATTTTTAGATATATATCACAAACTGTTTAAAAATATGAATTTTTTCAACGTCAATTAGTAAAAAGAGCCTTTTATGGAGAGAGTTGAATTTTAAGTGACAATACAAAAATATAACAGAATTAGGGTTCATCAAAAGCTACTATCATATTACAAACGTTTATTTATTCTGTTAAACGGTTATTAAAAATATCCTAAATTTAAAAAATGATACCGTTGTCAGAAAAGTGTCGATGGCTATTTTCAAAAAAAAAATATGATCAAAACTTGTCATCTATAAACACTTAAATACGTGTTTAAACACATTTTTTAATTCATTGGATTAATTCAAGTTAGTAATGGGAAAATATAACGAGGCAATATCATGAAAAATTCGATTTGTAACTACTCGTTCCACGATAATGACAAGTCTATAACATAAATCTTATTTGTGATCAACTGTAAATGATTTATTTCTAGATCTATGTCGTCGTGTCATTATCTCCAACACACTTGTGTTGCCCGGCTGGCAGAGTTTCTACCGCCCCCCACCCCCTCCAAATGAAATTTAATTTGCATAGAAAATATATACATTTACAAGTTTTCGCCCCCTCCCTCTCGGAAAATTTTGCCCCCACCTCCCGAAAATTAGAAGCGCCTCCACCCCCTGAGAAAAAAGTCTGAAAGAAACACTGCTGCCCAAGGTTTGTTGTTCAGGGATAGGCCAAGGTATCCTGGGTGGGGTGACAACCCTAAGCGAAAAGGGAGAAAATCCAAGTTAGATCTCAGCTCCCATAGCACGTATTCGGACAACAATGTTGAAATATCTCCGGGTTGTTTAATAAAAAAAAATAGTTTAAACTCACATAAACGTATGTCGTTTTGCTAGGATGTGAAACAGTAGGTGCAGTTCTTTAGTAAGAAGAGTCCTACAAAAGGAAACTCCGTTGGGAAAAGGTTGTTGCAAAGTTTACTTCCCCAAAGCTTCTATGTGATTAATACAGTATACTTATGGCATTAATTTATAACTTACACATGTCAGTAATATATCAATAACTACCATACTCTAATCTATACTTCACATAATATGAAATACTGTTTTAACAAAATGTTTATATATGTATAATCTACAGTCACGTTATTAAATGTTTTTATTCTCATTTCTGTTCTTGATTTGTCCTTATAAACTTTAATATAGTCTCACAACTATAACATTTTAAATATTCTGTTGCATAAACTACAGTATCCACAGATTCGCTCACAATCGATCCATTAATTCTAACACTATTGATTTCATCAAATGCTTGTTAAACGAAACCGCACTTTACATCGACTAACCACTTTACTAAGCAGCTCCGTTTCCTAATGTGTTGACAAATGATTCAACTACAAACCTTTTAACACGAATCACACTTTATCACACCATTAAATGCAATAAAACATACCGACCACGGATATAACTCTGCAGGTTTGGTGCAGTACTGTGTGCTAGAATTTCGTCAGTCTTTAACGTTTATTCTCATTACATTTCTGCATTTTTATATTATATATATATATATATATATATATATATATATATATATATATATATATATATATATATATATATATATATATATATATATATATATATATATATATAACAAAGCAGTTGGAGTTGACGCCATGGGTCATACAACGTTTCTTCCATCACTGATGCTTCTGACCCTGCTCTCCATCCAAACGACCTCATCCCAAACAGCCGCAGCCGGGGTAGATGCCTACCTCCAGCTGTCGCAGCTGGTCTACAGCTGTCCATCCGTCCAGTTCAAGATTCCACCGGTCAGTGATAGGAGTGTGTACATGACCTTTGAACCGGTCCAGATCATTTCGGTGAACGAGCTAAATCAAGTGGTGGTCATTTCGTTTCTTATAACCCTGCGCTGGGACTCACAAGAATGTAGATGGAACGCCTCGAACTATAACGGTAACCACGTCTTTATTATTTATTTAGATACTTGCAGTGTTTCTTCCATTCATCTCTTCGAGGGTGGGGGGGGGGGAGATTCCGAGTCTACCGCCTCGCCCCCACCGAACGAAATGGAATTTATTTAGAAAATATATATTTTTTAACAGTGTCCCCCCCCCCCACACGAAAATGTTAGTCCGCCCCCCCCCTTTCCCTAGAAATTTTCAATTACCCCCTCTTTCTCCCCCTCCCCTCCCCCCTCCCCACTGGATGCTGAATAATAAGATTTGAAAGCTCATTGCAAATGCGTGTTTATAATGGATTACAAGTGATATAAGTGCAATATAATACAAATGTTTGTAAACAATAACAGTGTTGTATTATTTTAATGCAGATTTAAGAAAAGAAAATAAGTTAAAATAAACGAAAAAAAAATTAAAACGGGTTATTTTTAATGTTGTGACGGAATGGTCGAACGGTAGGGCGTTTGCCTGATAGCCTAAGGAATCTCTATTATAATTGTAGGACGTCCCTGAGTCCACCCAGGTTTGATGGGTACCTGACATAAGTTGGGGAAAGTAAAGGCAGCTGGGTATCGTACTGACCACACAAAACCTTCATACGCCGAGGTCAAGAAACAATGTTGATAGTAAAGTCTGATTAAATTTTGAATGAATTAGTTTTTGTCTTGCAATTTTTAATTGTATTAAAAATTGTATAATATTTTTAAAAGGTGCATAAAAACGTGTTAATAACAAGCTTTTGTATAATTAAGAACTAAAAATTAGAAGAATAAAAGATTTTCTCTAAAAACAACAATGAAATGCTATTAAAATAACTAAAAATAAAAGCCACCATGTTTTTAGCGCAATTTCCATACTGGACAATTGCGATTATTAACTCGTCATTTCTGGTGATGGATTAATGTGTGTCCGCAGCTTTAAGTCGTATCTCCTCCTCAACGAAGCAATATCGAGGACTAGTTCCAAAGCAAATATGTTAAGCAAGTTCCGAGGATGATTGTGGGCCAAAAAAATTCCCGGAATTCCTTCCTGGATTTCCCGGAAAAGCCAAAAATCCTCGAAAAAATGCAGTTTTTGGCCCATATCTCTGCAACCAGACCATTTAGCGATTTGAAACATTTACCAATCGATTCCTGCCATAATTTAGAACAATATTGCCGAAGAAAGTTTTCAAAAATATCCTTTCGTTCGGTCACAAATTTTTTTTTTAAAAATTACATTATACATAATACACTACAGTACTATATAGCAATATATAGATATAGATGTATGGGGAAGGGATGTGTCAAAATAATCTATTTTTCGCTGTCTTTTAGATCTTTTTATTAAATTATGTTCATAATGAATTTTGCAGTCTCTAATCAGTTCTACAGCAACTTTTGTTGTTTTTATCTTTAGGTTTGAGCATGTTTGAGCTGGATATATCCAGTATATGGGTGCCATCTATCATTACACCTAAAAGTTCAGAGAATGGCCTTTTAAGTTTCCCAAATAAGGCTTTTGTGAGTACATGTAATAGTTTTTTAAACAGTATATATACATATATATATATATATATATATATATATATATATATATATATATATATATATATATATATATATATAGTGTTAATCTATTTATTAAGTATAAATTATAATTTTGTAGTAGGTTTGTCAATTATTAAAATTAGTACCTTCCAAAAAATAATACGAGTCAAAATAAATCAGTCAAAAATAAAATTTCTTTTATTTTAGAATGTTCGTTAGAATGTCGATGCAAGTGTATATCACACAGCCTTGTCTCATTTGTCCACAATTAGCCGAACCGTAATTTCACTAAATCTAGTCAACACATAATCTAGATCAACATTTTTATTTCTTTGAATTCTCCCGTACTTCAAGTCAAAATGCAGAATAATATATTCGAAAACCACTTGAAAAGAAAACCGTAGTAATTAGGCCTATCTTTAAGGTAAGCGCATCCGGGCAGTTTTTGATCAACAATCCGGACAAAATGTCGACCAGCTGTTATTTGAACCTGGACCGTTATCCTTTCGATGTCCACAACTGCACCATACCGTTCGTCTTGATGGACTACGGCATCAACCCGCTGGTCGGCGAAGATGTCTACCACCAGCTTGACCAGTTCTTCCACACCAGCGCGGAGTGGCGGCTCCTGGGGTTTAGTTGTTCGGTGGTTAAGGTAAGGGGTGCAGTGTTTGTTGGTTCTGATGGTTGAGGTAAGGGGTGCAGTGTTTGTTGGTTTGATGGTTGAGGTAAGGGGTGCAGTGTTTGTTGGTTCTGATGGTTGAGGTAAGGGGTGCAGTGTTTGTTGGTTTGATGGTTGAGGTAAGGGGTGCAGTGTTTGTTGGTTCTGATGGTTGAGATATGGGGTGCAGTGTTTGTTGGTTCTGATGGTTGAGGTAAGGGGTGCAGTGTTTGTTGGTTTGATGGTTGAGGTAAGGGGTGCAGTGTTTGTTGGTTCTGATGGTTGAGGTAAGGGGTGCAGTGTTTGTTGACTAAAGTTGTTGAGGTAAGGGGGGTGTTTAAGGTAAAGGATGCAGTGTTTGTTGGTTTTGATGGTTGAGGTAAGGTGTGCAGTTTTTGTTGGTTCTGATGGTAGATGTAAGGGGTGCAGTGTTTGTTGACTAAAGTGGTTGAGGTAAGGGATGCAGTGTTTGTTGGTTCTGATTGTTGAGGTAAGGGGTGCAGTGTTTGTTGACTAAAGTTGTTGAGGTAAGGGGGATGTTTAAGGTAAAGAATGCAGTGTTTGTTGGTTTTGATGGTTGAGGTAAGGTGTGCAGTGTTTGATGGTTCTGATGGTTGAGGTAAGGGGTGCAGTGTTTGTTGGTTCTGAAGGTTGAGATAAGGGGTGCAGTGTTTGTTGGTTCTGATGGTTGAGGTAAGGGGTGCAGTGTTTTTTTATTTTGATGGTTGAGGTAAGGGGTGCAGTGTTTGTTGGTTCTGATGGTTGAGGTAAGGGGTGCAGTGTTTGTTGACTAAAGTTGTTGAGGTAAGGGGTGCAGTGTTTGTTGGTTCTGATGGTTGAGGTAAGGGGTGCAGTGTTTGTTGGTTCTGATGGTTGAGGTAAGGGGTGCAGTGTTTGTTGGTTTTGATGGTTGAGGTAAGGTGTGCAGTTTTTGTTGGTTCTGATGGTAGATGTAAGGGGTGCAGTGTTTGTTGACTAAAGTGGTTGAGGTAAGGGATGCAGTGTTTGTTGGTTCTGATGGTTGAGGTAAGGGGTGCAGTGTTTGTTGACTAAAGTTGTTGAGGTAAGGGGGGTGTTTAAGGTAAAGGATGCAGTGTTTGTTGGTTTTGATGGTTGAGGTAAGGTGTGCAGTTTTTGTTGGTTCTGATGGTAGATGTAGGGGGTGCAGTGTTTGTTGACTAAAGTGGTTGAGGTAAGGGATGCAGTGTTTGTTGGTTCTGATTGTTGAGGTAAGGGGTGCAGTGTTTGTTGACTAAAGTTGTTGAGGTAAGGGGTGCAGTGTTTGTTGACTAAAGTTGTTGAGGTAAGGGGGATGTTTAAGGTAAAGGGTGCAGTGTTTGTTGGTTTTGATGGTTGAGGTAAGGGGTGCTGTGTTTTATTGTTCTTATCGTTGAGGTAAGGGGTGCCGTGTTTGTTGGTTCTGATGGTTGAGGTAAGGGGTGCTGTGTTTGATTGTTCTTATCGTTGAGGTAAGGGGTGTAGTGTTTGTTGTCTCATATCCAACACACACAAGCATATATACAAGCACACACACACGCATGTGCCCAGCATACTCACACACACAAAATGTACGCATACACGCACACTCACACGCCACTGTATGTAACAGCCGCTCATCTTAACGCACAATATTTATTCCATAGCTCCTTCCCTACAAACACCAGTTTGCTCCAGATTCCATGCCTAATCCACTTCATTATTATAGAACCCTCCCCCCTTCACATACATGTATGTTACATATTCCACTCCGTTACACACCTCTATATTACAAACCCCCACCACTACAACCACACCTCTTCCAGACCTTCCTACATCTACACCTCAATAATTTACACCCCAAATACAACTTCACCCCTATATTCTAGACCTACCCCACCCCTACATCTACTCCCTATAATCCAGATCCCAACTAAATGTACACCCTTTCCAGACCCTTCCACATCTACACTTCTATATTTTAGACCAACAAATACACCCCCTATTTTCAGACCTTCTAGATACAACTAACCCACATCCCCTATATTTCAGACCCTCAACTACAACTACACCTCTTCCAGGGCCCTTTACATCTATACCTTTATATTCTATACCCCATACATCTACACCCTATATTCCTACAACAACCCCCACACACACACACTATATAGCAGACCCCCCCTACGTCTACACCTCTATATTCCTAAAACTACCCCCACCTATATTCCAGACCCGCCCCATATAGCTCTACCTCTATACTCCAGACACCCATACATCAACCCCCAATATTGAAGACCCCCAACCACAACTACACATCTATATTCCAGACCCCCATACATCTACCCCCCTATATTCCAGACCCCCAACTACAACTACATCTACCTCCCCAATATTTCAGACCCACGCATACATCCACCCCCTATATTCCAGACCCCCATATATCCAACCTCTATATTCGAGACCCCCATACGTCTACCCCCTATACTCCAGACCCCCAACTACAACTACATCCACCCGTATATTCCAAACCCCCCATACATATACCCTCTATATTCCAGACCCCCGCATACATCCACCCCCTATATTCCAGACCCCTCATAACCTACCACCTTATATTCCAGACCCCTCATAACCTACCCCCCTATATTCCAGACCCCCTTCTACAACTACACCTAATCCCTATATTCCAGATCCCCATACATCAACCCCCTATATTCCACACCCCCAACTACAACTACACTTACCCCTATATTCCAGATCCCCATACATCTACCCCCTATATTCCAGACCCCCAACTACAACTACACCGACCCCCCCCCCAATATTCCAGACCCCCATACACCGACCCCCCCCCCAATATTCCAGACCCCCATACACCGACCCCCCTATATTCCAGACCCCCAACTACAACTACACCGACCCCCCCCCCCCCAATATTCCAGACCCCCATACACCGACCCCCCCCCCCAATATTCCAGACCCCCATACACCGACCCCCCTATATTCCAGACCCCCAACTACAACTACACCGACCCCCCCCCCCCCTATATTCCAGACCCCCAACTACAACTACACTGAATGCTGGTTCTCCATGGAGCGCCGCAGCATCTTTTACGTCGCCTCCCTCCTCGTCCCCGTCATCCTCATCTCCACCATGACCGACCTCGTCTTCTGCATCCCTGCCGAGTCGGGCGAGAAAATCTCTTACGTCATCTCCATCTTCCTCTCCATGACCGTCTTCGTCAACTTCCTAGTCGAGTTCGTACCCCGAAGCATGGGGAAACTACCCCGCATCATGCAGCTTATAACGGCTGTTATGGTGAAAATAGCTCTAATCGCCATGGCAACGATATTCGTTTTAAACGTGTATAAAAAGAAGAGAAATAAACAAATCAATAGGAAACGGTATACGAATTCAGTGATGAATGAAGCGAATCCATTGTTATCTAGATCTGTGAATAGCTTGGAAAAAATGTCAGAGGCGTCTTATAAAAGTGGATCAAGTTCAAAACGATGTGGGAAGCAGACGGCGGTTCTAAATTGTGGTGCTCGAGAGCCTCATGAGACTTTGGATGTGTACTTTTTCGTGGTGTTTGTTTTGGTTGATGTTGCTATATACACATTTGTGCTGGTGTGAGTGAGGTTTGGGCGACAGAGGTCAGAGGCGTGGTCTCACACACACAAATACACACACGTACACACACACAAACAAACACAAGCATACAAATCAACGCTGTCTATCACACACACATGATAAAGCATATACACAAACACACACACACACTCATACACAAGTACACACACAAGCTCAACCACACACACACACACACAGGTACGCGTGTACTATCTCTTTCACAAACCCACACGCACATGTACACACACACCTACTATCTCTCAATTTCTCTCCCCCACAAACACACAATCACATTCTTTAATATACAAGCACACCGATATACACAATTCAACACAACTCACACACAACCACAATTAAACATATTCACACAGTTAACATACTACCACACAAGGATACTGTAGACACATATTCACATAGATCTATTTTCTCCCCACCCCGTATTTGTCAAACATACAGACACACAAAGCGCTATGAGCACTGTTGTCACTCATTCAAACAATTTGTTAACCAGCGATCGATTTTGTCCAAACACAAGCCACAGTTAGATTAAACATTAACAAAATCTATTGTATATCCGTGTATGCGAAATCTTTAGGTTTAGGCACTTTTTAGCCATGTTTAAATAACATTATTTTGTTATCATAAATCCCTCTAAATGACCAATTATTCTTAGTAAACTCCTATTGATGTACAAGACTTGTG